TCCATTTGGCATAATAACAGCTCTGAGTTTTCTCCTATAATGCCTGATGAGGTTAGAGAGCACCTGACAAGAGATCAGAGACCATTCCTTCATCCAGAATCTCTCCAGACCCTTCAGATTCCCAGCTCCATGATGGTGCTTCTGCTCTTCAGTTCGCCACACTCATTTTCTATAGGGTTCAGGTCAGGGAACTGGAATGACCATAGCAAAAGCTTGGTTTTGTGCCCAGTGACCCATTTTTGTGTTGTTTTTAAGGTTTTTTTTTTGGATTATTGTCCAGTTGGAAGATCCAAACGTGGCCCATTATAAGATTTCTAACAGAGTCAGTCACGTTTTGATTTTTTATCTGTTGGTATTTGATAGAATCAAAGATGCCAAGCATCTAAACAAGATGTCCAGGACCTCCAGCAGAAATGTAGACCCACAACATTAAAAATACAGCAGTATATTTCTTTGTACACATTGGGTACTTTTTATCCCTGTGTGCACCAAACCCATCTTGAGTGTTTGTTGCTAAAAAACCATTTTTTTAGTTACATCTGACAATAGAAGCCAGTCCCATTTGAAGTTCTATATATATATATATATATATATATATATATATATATAACAACAAGGTGGTGCCGTGCATGGCTACCTCGGTTTGTAGCTCCTTAGTACTTTTACTATTCTTGTTTGTTTGTCCTGTTTTAAGTAACTTTTTTCCAATCAGCTTAAGCTGCTAGACATCAGAAATAGCACACCAAATAATTTTTTTGCAGACTTTTGAGCATTCAGACATTTTACTGGACATTCTAGTCAGAGGAACTGCAATCCGATACAAGCGCTCCAAGCAACGCAAACGAGGAAAGCGCACTGGTGCGCTCGTGAAATTCCGACAGCGCGGTATTAGGTCTCCGCTGCCGAGCATTCATCTGGTGAATCTCCGCTCCCTAGCAAATAAAACAGATGAACTACTGTACTACTCCTCATCCACATAAACAAGGACTTTTTCAACTCTGCTGTGCTTTGCTTCACGGAAACCTGGTTGAACGGAGCCATCCCGGACAGCGCATTTCATCTAACAGACTTTCAGCTGTTCAGAGCGGAGTGCGTCACCAAGTCATCAGGAAAAACGAGAGGTGGTGGATTATGTTTTTATATCAATGAAGGCAGGTGTACTGATTTGCTGTCCAAATTTTTACGTTTTCTTTATTAACTATAAGCCTTTTTATTTGCCGAGGGAGTTTTCCTTGTTTATTCTGTTGAGTGCGTACATGCTGGACCACCTACAGTTTGCTTACCGAGCAAACAGGTCTGTGGATGATGCAGTCAACATGGGACTGCACTACATCCTCCATCTGGACAAACCAGGGACTTATGCAAGGATCCTGTTTGTGGACTTCATCTCCGCTTTTAACACCATCATCCCGGATACCCCCCTGATTAAATTGACAGAGCTCTCTGTACCCACCTCCATCTGTCAGTGGATCACCAGCTTCCTGACAGACGGGCAGCAGCTTGTGAGACTGGGAAAACTCACATCCAACACCTGCACCATCAGCACTGGAGCTCCTCAGGGGTGTGTGCTCTCCCCACTGCTCTTCTCCCTCTACACCAGGGATGGGCAACTTCGGTCCTGGAGAGCCACTGTCCTGCAGAGTTTAGCTCCAGCCCTAATCAAACACACCAGTTTCTTCAAGACCACTTGAAAGCTACAGGCAGGTGTGTTTTATTAGGGTTGGAGCTAAACTCTGCAGGACAGTGGCCCTCCAGGACTGAAGTTACTCCTGAAATTTGCAGACGACACCACTGTCATTGGTCTCATCCAGGACGGTGACGAGTCTGCTTGCAGACAAGAGGTTGAGCAGCAGGCTGTCTGGTACAGTCACAACAACCTGGAGCTGAACACACTCAAAACAGTGGAGATGATTGTGGACTTCAGGAGAAACCCCCTGCACTCCCCCCTCTCACCATCATAAACAGCACTGTGGCAGCAGTGGAGTCATTCAGATTCCTGGGCACCACCATCTCACAGGATCTGAAGTTGGACAATCACATTTACTCCATTGTGAAAAAGGCCCAGCAGAGGTTTATATATATATATATATATATATATATATATATAACAACAAGGTGGTGCCGTGCATGGCTACCTCGGTTTGTAGCTCCTTAGTACTTTTACTATTCTTGTTTGTTTGTCCTGTTTTAAGTAACTTTTTTCCAATCAGCTTAAGCTGCTAGACATCAGAAATAGCACACCAAATAATTTTTTTGCAGACTTTTGAGCATTCAGACATTTTACTGGACATTCTAGTCAGAGGAACTGCAATCCGATACAAGCGCTCCAAGCAACGCAAACGAGGAAAGCGCACTGGTGCGCTCGTGAAATTCCGACAGCGCGGTATTAGGTCTCCGCTGCCGAGCATTCATCTGGTGAATCTCCGCTCCCTAGCAAATAAAACAGATGAACTACTGTACTACTCCTCATCCACATAAACAAGGACTTTTTCAACTCTGCTGTGCTTTGCTTCACGGAAACCTGGTTGAACGGAGCCATCCCGGACAGCGCATTTCATCTAACAGACTTTCAGCTGTTCAGAGCGGAGTGCGTCACCAAGTCATCAGGAAAAACGAGAGGTGGTGGATTATGTTTTTATATCAATGAAGGCAGGTGTACTGATTTGCTGTCCAAATTTTTACGTTTTCTTTATTAACTATAAGCCTTTTTATTTGCCGAGGGAGTTTTCCTTGTTTATTCTGTTGAGTGCGTACATGCTGGACCACCTACAGTTTGCTTACCGAGCAAACAGGTCTGTGGATGATGCAGTCAACATGGGACTGCACTACATCCTCCATCTGGACAAACCAGGGACTTATGCAAGGATCCTGTTTGTGGACTTCATCTCCGCTTTTAACACCATCATCCCGGATACCCCCCTGATTAAATTGACAGAGCTCTCTGTACCCACCTCCATCTGTCAGTGGATCACCAGCTTCCTGACAGACGGGCAGCAGCTTGTGAGACTGGGAAAACTCACATCCAACACCTGCACCATCAGCACTGGAGCTCCTCAGGGGTGTGTGCTCTCCCCACTGCTCTTCTCCCTCTACACCAGGGATGGGCAACTTCGGTCCTGGAGAGCCACTGTCCTGCAGAGTTTAGCTCCAGCCCTAATCAAACACACCAGTTTCTTCAAGACCACTTGAAAGCTACAGGCAGGTGTGTTTTATTAGGGTTGGAGCTAAACTCTGCAGGACAGTGGCCCTCCAGGACTGAAGTTACTCCTGAAATTTGCAGACGACACCACTGTCATTGGTCTCATCCAGGACGGTGACGAGTCTGCTTGCAGACAAGAGGTTGAGCAGCAGGCTGTCTGGTACAGTCACAACAACCTGGAGCTGAACACACTCAAAACAGTGGAGATGATTGTGGACTTCAGGAGAAACCCCCTGCACTCCCCCCTCTCACCATCATAAACAGCACTGTGGCAGCAGTGGAGTCATTCAGATTCCTGGGCACCACCATCTCACAGGATCTGAAGTTGGACAATCACATTTACTCCATTGTGAAAAAGGCCCAGCAGAGGTTGTACTTCCTTCGTCAACTGAAAAAGTTCAACCTGCCACAGGCACAGATGACACAGTTTTACTCCGCTGTTATTGAGTCAGTTCTGTGCTCTTCTATAACTGTCTGGTTTGGGTCAGCCACCAAATCAGATATAAGAAGACTGCAACTGACTGTTAGGACAGCTGAAAGGATAATTGGTGTGC